TTTTTGATTTGACATTGTATGGTAACTGTGATAAAATGATTATATACATTAAAAATCTATTTTGGATGATATAGATGCCGACATAAGTTGGTAAGAGTTTTACGGATCACGCTTTGAATGTGGGTTCGAGACCCGCCTGTGTGATCGAATTATTTTAATCGAATTTATTAATATACGTGGATTTTACCTTATAACAGCAATAAAAAAACAATTAGCTTCCATTTTCTTATAAAATTATTAGATTGTTTTTAACATATTAATTTAAATATAGCAAATTTAACGATTTAAAACAGCCCGACGTATCGGATGCTTCGCAGCGGCCGCGGTCACGAGGAGATTCGTCAATAATTAGTAGTTATGACAAATTTAACCAATAAATTTCGCGTTTTAAACGGTCAAAAGTATTTTATTTCAATGTACTGGAGATCCCACGTTCTATGAATTGTATGTATGTATTCGGGCGAGGTTTAATCTACACGTGTTAACTAGCTTTAACTGCAGTCCCTTAAGGCTATCGAGAATTACTTCCTAGAACCAATACGAGTCATCGTGTTAAAATTTGTATCAACGCCCAATAAGGGATACACTCACCTTGTAGTTATCAGACGATAATAAAGGAATGTGAACAGTGGGCGATATGGGTATCTATTTCAACTATCGATTGAAAACCTGCTGAACCTTTATTTTACACATATTTTAGTTTGAAAACTTTATTTTTTCCTATGTTATTGCACATTATGGCACTATATAAACTATAGATCAAGCTAACGGTAGCTCAATTGGTTAGAACAACAGCACGAAACCCCGGGGATGTCAAGTCCTGCCCGTATCGTAATCATTCTAATTATTAACGATTTTTAGTTTGCATATTTCATTATAGCTACATCTTTTGTTTAACTTTATATTTAGGTAGATAGATAACTCATAAGTTAAATAATTTATAATTGAAGTAGATAACAAGAGCTAAAATGCCAGTATGGTATTAGATCATTATAATATGGCCCGCATAAAAACGTCAGCTGTGTCGTAATTTGAAATCATACTTTGTGCATTTATGTTTTTTTACTTATCATTTGTTCTTCTGTAAGTCTATTATCATTGGTTCGTGATATACTACTTCATTACTTCTTTGTACTCTCATATGCACTTGCCCTTGAGAAAACAATGACAGATGTCTCGTGAATCGTAATCACTAACTTCGATGAAAGGTATGATTAGGCACAGATAAAACAAAAGGACTGGCCGGAAACATTCTAACTTGTTAATTTTTTTGTTCAACATTGAAAAGGTTTATTCACCTTTGAATACAAAGCACACTAGCTAAAATTAAGAAATATATTTTAGTATTTACTATTTTTGTAAAGTATTTTTTATTGTAGTCTGTAATAATTCGAGGTTAACCACACCGCGCAGCCGTCAACATTTCAACAAAACGCGACTTAAAATTCGGCACCTCAATTTGTTGACACATATTCGCGCGGGAAAGTGATTGTCAGCCGTTGATCATCTGTCAGTGGCATTTCCGAAACATAAGCTGTGACCGGCCACAGACTCCGTTACTGGAACACAGTGACCCCGTTACGCCTGTACGAATTTATTAACCCGTGCTCGACAAACACTTTTAACATTATCCTCTCAAGACGATAATAGAATTTACTGTTATCGTATTTCTGAATGCCGCCTACGTGCCGTGAAATCGACGAGTATGATTAATTAGCTGTTTGTTCTAGTGTCTTATTTTACGGTGAAGCTTGAAATAGACTACTAAAATTAAGAACACTTATAATGGGGACTATAATTACAAGTGACACATTATACAAAAAAAAATATTTACAACAAAACCAATCGTTTTACATCGAGTGATAACACCCCTCACTATTTAAAATAAGATAATGTCTTATCTATGAAATTACTACAATATTTCTAAAACTTCTTTAACAACTTATTTATTTTATATCTGTTGTTTATGCGAGTGGTACACATGAAATAAAATAATTTTCAAGATACTTATCTGTATGTTTCAATAATAGAAATCGTGTTTTAAATAGTTAAAAGTATTTAATATCTACGTTACAATATGGAATAACGCTGTTGAAATACAAATACAATTAGTTAGTATTTAAGTACGCAGGGCTATACCAAAACTACTATTATTTTTGTTTATAAATCACGTGATAAAAAAACTATATAAAACTCATGTTCTATGACAAAGAAACAATTAATGCATGCAATAGTAAATAATATTAACAACAATAAAACGACCTATGTTATGTGTACCTAAATCATGTTAATATATCCTTTTTTAAAGGCAGTAAATCTTTATATAACATACTGGTAGCCACGCGAGGGATACCGTAATATAAAGGTGAAGAATCTTTAAATTCGATTCCGATCAATGCAATCGCAAATTCAATTTGAACACAACAATACTTCTCATGTCAATGGCCCTAAGTTGGGACAATTACCTGGGCCACAGTACCGCGAAAACAATTCCTGTTTACTCGGTTCTTTGAAGATTTAGTTTACAAGCGTGTTTGTTACACAAATACACTAATTAGTTAATTACGTTATCTGTTTATGTTCCCTTTTTTAAAATAATTTAAGAATTATCGACTACATACGGCGGACGTTCTATAATTGAAAAAGGACTGATAAAAATTCCTTTGTCACGCACCACCATCCATAAAGCCGTGAAGTCAAGTCGCGTTTCGGTGTCAGTCAGGTGAAATCCTTATAACATCCCAGTATGCGTAGGTGCGCTGTCGATTCACGGCATTTTTTTATTATATATGAATAATCGTTTATGGCTCGGACAAAATTACGATATTCCTCTCACCCACTTAATGTCCAGACTTACCATGTCTTCAGACAAACATTAAAATGGATAAAGACCAGAAGAATGGATAAAGAAGATTTAGATTATTATACCTATCAATACCAAAGAGTGTTTCAAAAAAGTTCGAGTGAAATAGGTTTTCTTAACATCCGGGAAAATCCGCTTCAGATGCCTATCGCGCCATGAGGAGCAAATGAGTCAAAGCGGACTTAAACCGACTAAAACCCATCTGCAAAAAACCTCAAAAAAGTGGAAACTCTGAAGCAATAAAAAAGAAGAAAAGGTAGAAGGATATTGCATTGCTTGTCCTTTTATTATGTTTGAGAATCTGTTACAAAAACTCTGCATCGCTAAGTAAATTTACTGAACACTGAACTGCTGGTTTCCTGGTAGGACGCTATATTTCTTAGGCAAATAAAATGTATTTCGAATATCATTTGCTCAGCACGTTCGCTGCGATTGTTGTTAAGGAAAAACAATAAGGGGGTATTGACTGCGGGCATTGTTAATAGTATTCCCTGCAGCTAAGATGAAACAAAGGTGTGCGGTGCCAGAGACGCATGGTGGATATTGAGAGTCTCAACACGCGCCGCCCAAGGTCACTATGCCCAGCGATGCTTGTAACTTGTGGTTATTGGTATAAGAGCGGTCGTGTCGTTCACATTACAGCATACAAATTCAAACAAACGCTGCCGTCTGCCTCTCCAACAAAAAGATAAAATACGCATCCGCAAATAAATGACACGTCTTTCCTCCAACATTCATTTGTTTTCTATCTGCTTTTTTAAGGAATAAAATTCTGAACAAATAAAACATATTTCTTATGTGCCCTTCGTTTTCAACAACAAAATAATTCTTCGATCATATTGATGTGATTATGATTATGAATAACAGCATAAATAAATTGGGACAAGTCCTCATCGATTCCCCTTGTGCAACCTTTTTATTTGTAGGTGATTTCTATTCTTTCAACCACTATATCACCCTAATGGCAGTATTTATGGAAAATAGTGTAGATACCGCTTTTGTAGAGAATCGGATAATGTACAATTTAGTCTCAACTTTTTTACTAAAAACATCGCCGTTTACCTGAAAAACGCGAAATACCAATTTTTTCCAAACTATAGTATTCTGAACATTCATACCAATTTTTAGCTCTACGGAAATTAATATAACCTTACCTATGTTTTAAGTAATAATTACCGACTAATAGCCAACGCCCAGTATATGAACCCTCAGTATTTTTACAAAACTTTTATTATGTACATAAATTGTTTAAGCATTTTCAGGGCTAGAGTAGAATAACAAATTGATAGAGACAAAAACAGATGTTTCCATCTAAAGTAGTGTTGCTTTAGGTGCGTGTCTAATTTAAAAAACATCCGTAAAATCGTGGACAAGTGATCAACCTGCTTACACATCTAATCAAAGCTGTTGACAACCAACAGTGAGGGATAACCTTGCGCACGCGCAGACTAGATAAAACCTCTGCAAGTACCTGAGTGACGTCATTATTATACGTTTATCAGTTGGTATCTGCGATAGGAACTTCGTAGTTTAGTTGACAAGCTAAACCTCAAATATGATCATATGGTATACTATAAAATGTTATGCATTTATTTAAGACATATTACTCATAGATAGGGAAGGATATGTTTTTGTAGAATCATCGCGACAGAATATAGTTTGACGTGTACAAGCCTCATACAAGGAAATATAATCTACGACAACGCAACGCAATAGTTTTCCACACTAACATATTATGAATTCCGCAAAATGTTTCGTAAATAACTTTGGTTATTAATTTTTATTGCTAACATGTAAAAACTAATAAAATTAAATGATATAATAACTGCATAGTTACATATTTGCATAAATTACATGTGATAAAATTTATCATACCTATATTCTTCTATCTTGTTAACATTTCTTTTGTTTACATTATCTAGGCCATTTTAAAGACTTAGTTTACTATGGCATAGAAATTAAACATCGTCTATCTGCCTTACTTATTAAAATGCAATGGTGTTTTATTTATCTGCCTCTAAACCTAAATTATTTTTGCTTTAAACCGTCTTTTGTTTAAGTAAGGTAGCATATACATAACATTTCTAAGCATGCGCATGTCATTAACAAAGGTCCATATCCGCTATGGATACGGCAGTCTAATTATGACGTGGACTTCCAGATGTACTTGGCGCAATACGGTTACCTCAGCCCCTCGGTGAGGAACCCTTCCAGTGGCCACATTATGGATGAGAGCTCGTGGAGAAGAGCTATTGCTGAGTTTCAGAGCTTCGCTGGACTGAATACTACGGGTAAGCAGTTAGTTTGGTTATCAGTTTTAATTACCATCGTTTTGAGGTTCGGTTACTTATTCTTCGCCACTATATTACCACGCCATATTATTCGCAGCCTGATGTTTTATAGCCTACAGTCTTCCTCGATAAAAAGACCAAGAATCACAAAAATAATTCTTCAATTCGAACCGTTCCTGAGATTAGCGCGTTCAAACAAACAAACCCTTTAAATTAATAATATTAGTCTACTTTTTTATTCTTTTTGAATTTGAAGTGCTTCAATATAAAGGCAGACTACTATACGTACATACTATAGGAAACTAAATCTAATATCTACGTCATTTGATTAAAATTCGGTATGGCAGCAAACATATCTGTATTCAAGACCACACATTATATTATGTTCGTCGCTTCGTTGGTTTGACGTTATTAGTGTAATAGTAACCCATAACCGTGCCACTGTGACCTTGCTGGGTTATTTAGTGTTTACAGAATCAATCTGAACATAACAAAGGCTTTATAAAAGCAAAAAAAAATTACCACAACCATTTTTAAAACAATATAATATTTTATTCATGTATTTTTTCCAATACATTATATTTATCATTATTAATACTTTATAAGACAATATTTTATAAATATTAATATCTACTGGTCACGTCATTGTTTTTCTTGTGAAGAAAATTGAAATGTATTTTTACAAGCTTTTTTAACAATTCGTTATGTAAGTCCTGGTTTCGAAAATGTTATTCTATTTTTTATAATAAAAGAGGACAGATAAACATGGGATTTACTTCATGGTAGCTAAAATTACCCAGCCATAAACAAGATGCCCTGACGTCCTATTTTGGCATTGGATGTTCAATAAATATATAACACTGCTTACGTTAGAAGCAAATAGATATTTTTCATGTAGAACCACGTACTATAGCGATTCAAGTTCAGACCACGTAATGGTATGGTATTTGATTCGGCTGCCAACCGTGTTTCTTGTGACTATAATTGCAACGTCAATGTCGATGATTCGGCTTATCACATCCTGGGTTTAACTATTAGTAAATGGAAGCTAACAAAATGGTCAAGGGAGATTTTTTTTTAGTATAGCCAATCATAGATTTTATCATTATCATATATTTTTTATCTATCATAAACAAATGCGGAATTCAATAATTCATTTTGAGCAATATGCAATGCAATTTTTATTTTAAAAATTATGATAAATCATACCAATCTAATAAAACTGAAGATTTTGTTTGTTTAAACGCACTAATCTAAGGGTTCGAATAAATTTATTTTTGACATTGAACCATTTATCGTGAAAGACTCTTTAGGCTATAAAACATCGAGTTTCCAATAGAAGCGATGATATAGAAGGAAATGTCTAAAAACGGGAAATTTATTTATCTTTGAAAGTTTTCTTTGCTTACGCTGTCAAAACAGTTTTAATACCCAAAATGTGTACCAGATAATGATTCTTCTATAAATGATTTTAAAAAATGCCCCCTACAGTATATATATCTATCTATCTTTCAAGATCAAGTCACAAGATTCGATTTGATGGCAATCAAATTTCGACGAAATACCTCAATTGGCAAAAGAACGTCTGCTAATAATAGTAATTTTCAATAAATAAATAATTTATTAAACCATCACAGCCCATTGACTGGTCCACCTCTAATCACGATTAGCGTTGTTCCTGTTTTGCTCGTGTTTCCTCTTGTGGTTTTTGTCGGATTGCGTATTTTGCGTATTCATTTCCTAGACAGCGTCATTCATCGTTGACTTGAGAATATCCCCAAACGGTCATATAATTAAATATAAGCTGAATTACTAGGACTAAAGACTACCAATTTAACCGCCTCTGTAGCTATATATATTGTTAAACGTGTTGCCTAGGATTGCGTTGAGTGCGAGAGATCCTAGGTTCGGATGCCAAGGAGACAATGGTTTGTTTCAGTCGGCTAGAGAAGTCTGATCAACTACTTTCCTGTAAATTAAACCGATTAGTGAAAAGGAGTTAGAAATATGCTCTCCTCATGTTCTGGGTGGATCGGGATTTTACACTTTTTAATGTCTGCCACTTTCCTATCTGGTCAAGCGAGCTCATTTGGTATTACTGACAAAAATTGACGTTAGGAGAATACCGTTTATTAAACAGACGTCACGATGCTCGTGGTTCGTGAATTAACTAAATTGGGTCCCATGGGGCGTATTAGAATTTAAGCATTTAATATTTAAGCCACAAATAGATAATAATTTTGACCGTCGGATACTGTTATTAATAAAACTATTAATTTGTAATATACAATATGTTGTTATCGAAACTGAAAGAAGCGCCAAGACTGTAACATATCTTTTTATTCCTTAAAACAAGTAGTTACAGACCTAAGAAAAAGTTAAATATTTACTGTATTATATTATACAAATTTTATTGTATAATACAATAGAAACTTTATCGATTCCATCTTTTATTGGAACTTACTTTAAAAATGTCGTAATTGAAAAAAAACAATTGAATCACTTAACTTAAACTACGCCGTTCCAAGTCTAGTATTTAATTATAGATTAAGCTGTATGTAATAGGTTTTACTAAGTTATTATTTTTATCATAATTTTTCCTTTCAGCTCGATGTACATTTGTTCTTAGTTATAGGAATTTTCTGTCGAAGTAACAAAGAATAACTGTTAGTACAGGTTTGACTGCATATAAATGACTTTATTCTTTGCAGGAGAACTGGATGAAGAAACAATCAACGTCATGTCACTGCCAAGATGTGGTGTTCGTGATAAAGTGGGTTTTGGTGAAAGTCGAGCGAAACGATACGCCCTACAGGGTAAGTGACCTCCGATATATACTTGTTACGTTTCTGCCTATTACTGTCCCACTGCTGGGCCAACGGCGGATCCAGGGGAGAGGAGTCATTAACCCCCCTCATTTTAGTCACAAATTATTATGTGTTACATTATTTAAGGCCTAACTCACACGCACTTGGGTATGCATACGTTCTATTTGAATGCTTGTTAACGGACGTTAAAAAAACTCTCGTGCATATTAGGGCTAAGTGTACAGTTAAGAATAATTATTTTGAAGAACGTTTATGTACATTAATTATTAACCTCGTTTTTACTTGTATCTTTGTTTATCAAAATTGACTGGTCCTGGGGCCAAATCTGTGTCCGCCCTTGTGCTGGGCACAGCACAACGCTCTCAAACAGAGATTTTGTTCTACTCGTTAAAAGTTTTACAGTACTCTTTGGATGAATTCAATAAATAGACATTCTTTAAATGATACGATTACTTTTAATTACACGTGCACTTTGAAGGCACTTTTTTACTTAATACAGGACTTTTATAACTGAACTTTGTTCATTGTATTATTGATTACGACAATTTGTAAATGTAATTTGAAATACAAAATTGACATAATATGTCACTGTGGACATAGCTACAGCCAGGGATTTACTTTCAGGCTCTAGATGGCGAGTGAAGAACCTCACTTACAAGATCTCGAAGTACCCATCAAGGCTTAATCGCGCAGAAGTGGACACCGAGCTTGCCAAAGCATTCTCCGTATGGTCTGATTACACTGACCTCACGTTCACCCAGAAACGATCTGGACAAGTCCACATTGAAATCAGGTAACTTCAAGTCAATTAACAGTTTAAATTCAAAAGCATGTAACACAGTTTTTTTTGGTTTTGAGTACATGTCTATAATTTATATTTAATTAAGATTGTTTCGTTTGCATATCGTTCGTGTTCATGTTCGGGTCAAAAAAAACCTCGGATTTCTACAAGAATATTACTATTCTTGTAGAAATCCGAGGTTTTTTTCTTAGGCATATTATATATTGGGAATGTTTCCTATTTTATTCCGTTTCTTATTTTTTCTATTTTCTTGCCGTAGAAGTTTAATAAACCTTATTTTTTTGAACTGTCAAGTTTGCATATAAGCAGCGATAAACAACAACATTGAAGTTAGGGAAGTTTTGCCTCAGAGAATAAGTCTATCGAATTATTAAACATTAGATGTGTCAGCGACTTCGTCCGCGTCGAAAAGTTATTTTGCGTATCCAAATTTATTTTTGCAAACCTCCTTTTCATCTTTATAAACTTAAGCTGTTTACTTAAGTTTATAAAGATGAAAAGGAGCATAAACTTAAGCTGGTTACCCACGACGTCGGACGCGTCCCTTCCCGTCGTTCGTGCGAGTTAATCATTTCTATATAGAAATATACTGTCGCAGACATTTTTTGAACATTCAAAGAGAAATTATTATTTCATACATTCATACGTATTTTTTCGGTAAATTGAACCTTTTTTGCAGCGTACGCAATGGAAACCAACAAGGATGAGCAATTTGCCCGTATTTATCGACATTTCCCGCTGTATCTTCCCTCCTATTACAAACAGGGCGATGTTTTATAGCCTATAGCCTTCCTCGATAAATGCTCTAAGATTTTTCCTGACATTAGCGAGTTCAAACAAACAAACTAACTCTCCAGGTTTATATATTAGTATAGATAGCTATGATTTACATTTTAAGATTACACTCACTGTGTTAAAATCATCTCGATAAAATGTTGTAAAACATTTCACATAATATAAAATCTGACATCTAAAAACATTTAATGTACAATGGTGATCAGTCTGCCGGAACTAAACACAAAATGTTGACATTGACTACCGTTTGCCTATTTATATGACGACACGCGTTTTTTACATGTACAAGCATTTTAATTAGATATGGAAATACTAGTTTTTCTATATTTTTTATCTATACTAATATATAAAGCTGAAGAGTTTGATGTTTGTTTGTACGTGCTTATCTCGGTAATTACTGGGTCTCGTTGGTACGGGTGGTTGGTTAGAAGAGACAGTGGAAAATATGGAATAAACGGGGAAAATTATAGTACAATTTCCATTTTATTTTTTATTTCTCTGACATCACAGTTTCTGAGTCACATAGCGAAGCCTTATACCGCCACGATGATGCATATAGTTTACAGCTAGTTACTTATACAATATTATTTCCTTGACATATTTAATAGTTGTTTATACAAAGTTCTTATTTCTAACAGCGTAGCAACAATACGTACCTATTAGAAAACAATAGCTATGGGATATCTTTGTATATTTTAAAATCCTTTACCGTGGATTTGACAAAACGTAGAAATTGTTAGATACTAAAATATTAGGTGGCCTTTTCACTAACATCTTATTACGATACTTGAATGTCATGTGTTTTTACGGTAATATCTCACTTTTAAATAATTATTGTTCGTAGTCTAAAGCTAAAATTAAGTAACGTATGTCTATATACCATAATATATAAACTTTGGGACCAATACACTCTAAAATAAGTTCACTAATACATTTATTTAAACCAATAAAACTGTTTTATTTAGCGTATGCCCTTTTTCAGGTTTGAGAAAGGAGAACATGGTGATGGCGATCCTTTCGACGGACCTGGTGGAACCCTGGCTCATGCTTATTTCCCAGTGAGTTATCGCTCTTATAAGAGACAACAAAGTTTCAGTAACTTCACAATATGAAAAATAGTTTGAACTTCAACGTATTAAAAGTTAATATTTTTTATCTATAGTCTTACTTCGACGTCAGTTAAAGTATCGTACAAGCATGAATTCGCGTTTTAATCCGTTTTAGTTCTGTACAATTTAACACAACACTTATTCAAACGTATAAAACCGTAATTATATGCTATTAGTCGCAGCGTGATGTTTTAACACAAAAATAATAATTTTTAATTTGAAGCAGTAGTTCTTGAGATTGGCGCGTTTTAACAAACAAACACACTCTCTTTATAATATAGAAATGCTAATATAGCATAAACCTAAGAAAGCAGGAAAGAAATGTGTTATTTTTTACAGCCTTGATTTAAGCACACATTTTTTCACTATCTTAAACTATAAATTAAAATACAAATGAGTTTTGTATCGAACATTGCCATGGTAGCACAAAGCAAACAGTATGCTATAACGTAAAGTCAGTATTTCTACTTGTATTGAAATATGAACGGAAGTAACTCTTTATCACAATTGTGTACAATAAATAGAGAAAGCGTATATTTAAATTATGTGTCACATTTGCATATTTAAGGTTTATTATTTCGACAGCTATTCTACTAAATAGCTTTATTAATTATACTTAAAAATTACTTAGTTAAAGGACTCGAACCTGTGACTGCAGCGTTCTGTACTGTTGATCAACCTAAGCAGCTGCCCTATCTATTAACATATATATTAATATAGGCTACGTTCTTATACGTGTAAAATATCAATGTTTCAATGTTTTTAAATGCAAATTTATTACCAGTGACCACGGTTGCTGTAGAGCAATGGCATGTTGAGAAATACATTAATAAATATGTTTCCGTTTTGACCGGTTAAAAGTGTTTCTTTTTTTAATATCTAGGTACGGCCTTAAACAACGCTATACAAAGCTTTTTTCATTTAAATTTTGCATTTTTTTATAGGTATATGGAGGTGATGCACACTTCGATGACGCCGAAGTTTGGTCAATAAATTCAAGGCGTGGAACTAATCTATTCCAAGTAAGCTTTATTGTATATTTATTTTTTATATTAACACATAATATCACATGTATAAAACAAAACAAAGAATACTTTATTGTAACCATCAAATGTTATAATAATAAAACTTAAATTTGATCTAATGACCTTTTCAACAATTATATTAAGTTGTATGAATTTTTCTTAATAAATCTTTCATTCTTTAACCATGAGTTAACATAAGGAAATGATTGATTTCTGTAGACATCATTGCTTAGCTTTTAATTTTTTTTCTGGGAAACATACACGGTACTCGAACCCACTGCCAACAACAGACCTAGCTATTGCTCTGCCAATATTAGTGCCTAAAACATATATAATGATGATATTGATTTAGACACTTAACAAGAAGACTAAAGCTTTAAATATTTTTTAAAGCTTTAGTTTAAAAGAAGATAATTTTTGCCCCCTTTTATAATTGCTGAAAATACTTTTTCAGGTGGCGGCTCATGAATTTGGTCATTCACTGGGACTGTCCCACAGCGATGTGAGATCAGCTCTTATGGCTCCATTCTATAGAGGATACGACCCTGCTTTCCAATTAGACCAAGATGATATTCAAGGAATTCAGGTACTCTTATGCTTTTTTTTCACTTCAGAGTTTTTTACTGTTGTCATCAGTTTTTTAGTTTACGAAAGACTGGAGTTTAAAAATAGATTATAGATTCAAAAAAATACGACACGGGCAGGACTTGATATTAAAATTTTTTGCTATTTATTTGTTAGAACAAGCAGTGTCCTTGTGTGGGGCAATGGAAAAATGGGAAGGGGCTGTCTGTTTCACAAACAGGTTTTGTTAACGGACAAATAGTTAATCACAATTTTGTGATCTGACATATTCTACCGGGATTCAAACCCAGCACCTCTCGTTCCTATTAAGCATATCACATGAAAACTTTTCTCTGCCCGACCGTAACAATACTGGTTCCCTGGGATTCGAACCCAGGGCCACGTGAAATATTACCTAATCATTATGGTAGACAGGCGGTGAGAATAGTATAAAAATGACTCATTATTTCTTACCTAACAACAAATCTTAGTCATGCTAAAGCAATGTCTATTGCATCACTAATATTCTATTCTTATTCCAGGCATTATACGGACACAAATCTCAAGTAGACATCGGCGGTGCTATAGCCCCAAACCCCACAATCCCTCGGGTCACGACACAACAGCCGTCATCAGAGGACCCCGCCTTATGTGGTGACCCTACTTTCGATACGATCTTCAATTCCGCAGATGGAGCGACATTCATTTTCAAAGGTACGTTTCCTTTAATTTAGATTTAGTTTATTAAACAGTTTTATTTGGCGTACGGAATTTGTTTATTTGGATCAAAATAAGAAATTAAATTTAATCACCTTCCCAAATTGATCTGAAAAATGGTACACGCATATAATTTATGTGACAACGCAGTATAATAAAATCATTAACATTATAAATCCAAGATGGCCGCCGATACAAAATGGCGGATTACATATTTTTCCTTTTTCAGTGCATAAAAAAATAAAACCTCTTAACTTAAAAGTTTTTTTAGTTTCGCATAAGCAAAGCATACGACAGAGTAACTTAACTTAACAGAATAAGTTATAATTATTGGTTAAAAAATACATTTTATTATAAACCGTTTTGTATCTGCCAGCATCATCTATCCAAAAGTCAATCCTCCTCTATATTAAAAAACATCTTTGTGCGATATATATTCTACCAAATAGATAATAAAAAATATATGTATTTTTCCTCCAGGCGAGCATTACTGGAAATTAACAGAGAATGGTGTAGCCGCCGGTTATCCACGTCTCATCTCCCGAGCATGGCCAGGTCTTCCCGGTAACATTGATGCTGCGTTTACATACAAAAATGGAAAGACATACTTCTTCAAAGGATCCAAGTACTGGAGGTATAACGGTCAGAAAGTGGACGGTGACTACCCCAAGGATATTAGTGAAGGTATAATTTGCTAACTACCACTAAGCTAAATAAATAATGCCCGTGGTTTCACCCCCCTCATTGCGCAATAGTTAAATGTACTGCTTATAAGTACGAGAGGGTTCGAATCCTGAGAAAACTAATTATTTCGGTCGGGCAAGTGTAATCAACTTCATGTCTTTTAAATAAATCGTTTTAACGGTTTAAAACACGATGTATATTAGTTCATTTCTGTAAAATCAACTTAATGAAACGGAGGCTTACTGTAATTCTTTATTTCAGGTTTCACTGGAATCCCAGACAACATCGATGCAGCTCTAGTCTGGTCTGGAAATGGCAAGATTTACTTCTACAAAGGCTCCAAGTTCTGGCGATTCGACCCAGCTCAACGGCCTCCCGTCAAATCGACATATCCCAAACCCTTATCCAATTGGGAGGGTATCCCAGACAATATAGACGCTGCCTTACAATACACTAATGGATATACGTACTTCTTTAAGGGTGGTTCATATTGGCGGTTTAATGATAGGACATTTAGTGTAAGTGTCTTCAGAATCACCGTTTTAAATTTTTGAGTCACCTGGTCTTATTACAATTTTCGTTATTTTTTTAATTTTGAACATAAGAAGCTAATGGTGAAGATATGTAGATTTGATGGCTTAACAAAGCCGTGATTTAAAGACAGTAGTATATAAACTATTATACAAAAGATCTTATTCGTGAAGCTAACATATTTAATTAAGTTTCGTACAAAGAAATAGGTAGTTATATATACTAATATACTAATTGTACTATCGACTTCGTCCGCTTAAAATGGTTATTTTGGACATCAAGGTTAATTTTAAAAGGTAGGCATAGAGTCGCGGTTTTTTTTAGATTATTTAAAGAGGAATCATTCTTTCATATATATTTTTTGGATAGACCCAGAAGGATTATTAATTTTCCTCGTTAATTCCATATTTTCCGCTGTGTTTTCGCTTCTATTAGTCAGAGCGATCTTTTATGCCTTCCTTGATAAATGCTCTAACCAACACAAAAAGATTTTTTCACTTCGAACCAGTAGTTCCTGCAAATTTGTGCGTAGTAGACAAACACACTCTTGAGCTTTATATATTATCTATATAATATATGTGATATTCTCTCTCAGGTGGACACAGATAACCCAGCCTTCCCCAGATCCAGTGGTTACTGGTGGTTAGGTTGCAGTAGCGCACCACGTGGAACTGTCGGAGGTAACGCCCGCCTAACACAGACACCTCTAGAAGATGACGATGTCGGAGATATACTCTTCGACGCAGGTATGTTCCGGTGACCAGATGCCAGAGACGCGATACAAAGAGTAGGAAAAACCTAATAAACATTCAATAATCTTTGGTGACTTGCGATTCTTAACGTAAATTTAGAATGAGAAGTCTCAATCGCAGAAGAAGAGCAAGCTGTTGAAATAATTGTCCAAAGTGTTGGCTTTAGATGTCTTATTTTATGATTGGAATTAAATTGAGTTGTAGATAATCGCAAATAATATTGAATGTATTTTCATTATCTTTATCAATATTAGATGGAAACAAAGTCAGGACCGTCTCACCAACTCCACTGTTCTTTTGGATGAGTCAGCTTTTTATTTCAATGAATGTTGTTCTTCCTTTATTGTGTTTTTGTAAAACTGTATTAGATTAGTCTCTGTATCCTTATTGATGTGATATTGTTTTGTTTTATCCTTAATGTGTTTCCCATTCATAACCATTTTCAGATGCTAATCCGCGATTAATTCGCAAATACCTAATAATTATTAATAATTAACTTTCTGTTATAATTGCTACTAATAATTACCAATTACTAACTAAGCTAATGCTAATAATCTCTAAAGTTGCTTTTGCTTGAGCAGTGGTTGATGGTTGATGGTCCGATTGAGAGATCACGGCTTCTGGGCGCCTACGAACGTACCTGAAATATGCTGAACATCATCAGACTGTTAAGAGTCTCAGTTATTACAAAACGATGGTGAAGTTAAAAACGATCAAAATATATGGGATTATATACATCGCTAAATCATTTTGGGTTAATCAAACACTATCTTTTGATAAACATTATTCTGAAAAGTATGTTTTGTCTCTCTTTAACTTATTTTGAGTGGAAAAGAGAACGAAGCACTTTTAAGACGTTAGTAAAACAAAGAAAGTAGATGATGTTCAGCATGTTACAGATAGAATTAAGGTATTTAAAATTGATTAAGAACACTAAAGCTTAGTTCACAAAATCACTAGAAAACCAAAAAGTACTTAATGTCACTTGACATTAAAAGATTTCACAATGAATTTAAGTGACGTATGTATTGCTTACACTGTAGTTTAACACTTACACAGTGCAATGATGCAAAAGTAAGAAGCACGTTTTATTTCGGTCAGTACTCACCCGAACGCTGGTGTCTGGGTCTGTCCACGTTACAATTTGTGTTTTTGTGTTTGTCTTCTAGGTGTAAAATCATCCGCTCCCAGATCGTTCTTCTGGTTCAGGAAATAACCCCAGATGGATGTTCCGGAATATTGTACATAAACAATTGCAGAACAAAGACTCAATTAGTTTTAGGGGATTATTATACCAGTGAGATTATAGGAAAAGCGGTGAATTTTATACCGGCTGTCCATGTCACGCGCTCTGTGTACGTCAACTTTGGCTCACCTCTGCATGCTAGTTATAGTTTGCTTCGCTTCAGCATGTTTCATAGCTTGGGGTACTTTTACATTCACGATAACTTCATTTCCATTAATGATGATTTGATATGATTATACAAAAGGCATTATACTAAAATTGTGTAGGTAGATTACTAAAATTACACTAGATTCAGCGTATTAGTAATGTGGTATATAATAGATGAATGTAGAGAGGCGTTTTGTAAATTGTCTTTTGGGGGATAATTAACTAACTAATGAATATTGCAAATCAAATCTTTGTAGCAAAGTAAAATACTTGATTAATAGTCGTTATTAAAAAAAAACTTTAACGGTTTTAACGCGAAATATATTAGTTACCTCATCTCCAATTTATTTAAACTAGGACCCGACGTTTCGGATGCTTTGATACCACGGCTGCTACAAATTGCAACAAAAACCAATATATTTCGCGTTTTAAACCGTTAACAGTGTTTAAGTTTTTACGATGTTGTCCTGGTGGGACGCATAGTAGTTGTATGTAATATATTAGTGTGGGAAAGGCATTTTTATACATTTATACTCCGCTAAAAAAGAGATTTTCTTGACATTAAATATGTAATCGCGATCATCGTGTCGACTAAGGATAATGCCTGGACTGCGTAAGGAATGGTAATTTTGTTCAAAATTTAACGCACGTTTCGAGATTTGAGGATAAGCACGTTTTTAGTCTAACATTTTCGTGTGACTAACATTATAGAATTATTTAACATCTATGACAACGAAACGAGTAGTCGCGAACTGATCTTTTATAGTAGTATTAGCTTTTAAATGCACGTAAGTCTACATTTTAGCCAAGTTAATAATGTTAAACGATAACAAACTTCGAGTATACAAATTAGAGAGAAAGTCTATGTCAATGTCATTATTTTCTCTCTTTTATGACAAATAGAACAGGTTAGAGTTAAACTTGTAAGGTGAACCAGTCCTATAATATCTAAATAAGATGGGCTATCGACTTATCTTGGCTTTGGATATTAAGATAAGTGTTATGCATCTATATATTCTCAACATCCAATATTTAACTTTTATGTTGACGATATGAAAGGCCGTAATGTTTAATCACGTTTTGGTTTCCAATCCAAAGCCAAAATAGATCGACAGCACATCATGTTTAGTATCAAGTGAACCCGATGCCATGTCTGAGGACAGACATGGCATCGGGTTAATCATAATAAAAAGGTTGTGATGCGGACGGAATTTCGATAATCCTACCACTCATTTAGTATTTAGATTTTCCCACGAACTTCGTTATCGTTGCATTGTCTATGGCTAACACCTCTGTAGATAGAAGAAAATATAGACACCCTGTACATAAAAGTAGTTAGACGGTTCCGGCTAAAGACCCCTGTTAAACGCAAATTCATGTTTCAGTGGTCCACGTTCAGTCAGACGGAGCTAGACTGTAGTATGTACGGATTAAGGGGGACATAAGATTCGTCCTCCGCCGCGTCATCATTCACCCGCCTCGTAGGTTTTATTCATTTGTTTTGCTTTTAAATCCGCCGGAAACGCGGCTCTTGTTTTGCAATTTTCATCACTCATCACTCGTGTTTTAATGTTGCACGGTTTGTACACTGTGTGTTTCCACTGTCAGATATGCGTGGCGTTAATTAACTTAATTGGTCGTTGAAAATCGAAATTCAAATTGTACGATTTGAATCACTTTGCCATCTTATTCGATTTTCAAAAACAAGCGATCTAGTTTCGTTAAGTTTCACCTCCACGCATATCTTACAGACAAAGCCGTCAAATATTTAATGCTAAGTGTACCGTACAGATGGCGCTAGTGATACTAGAGGGAACAATGGCGTGGCGGCGTTTATTCCAAGCACGTGGACGGCGTTGGGACTTGCTCTGGTGGTGGCGTTGTATACAGGCGCCTAGCCCCACTACCACACTGCGACCCTAAGTGACAAAAGTCTCCGTCTCCTCGTCAAGTGACCAAGTACAAGTGTGCCTGTCCGCGTTCACTATTCTGTGCATAGCGAACGCCCAGCTGTGATGTGTGCGAACTTTTTATACAAGAACAATAATTTAATACGAAGTCATAGTTTTTATACTTATTATAAATAGATGATGTAAGCTCGAGTGTGATATTGAAGTAAGTAATATTTTGTATTAAAATAATCAATGGAAACACGCATTTTTATTTATCACGAGGGGCGTAAGAAATGACAGTCGTGATTGTGTTTTAATCGGTTTATTTAACATTTTTCTGTTCCTCGAATAATTCCACTTAAGTTAGTAATTACAAGTTTATTTGACAATATTTCTCGTTTTTATTTCATTTTCATAGACGCATTTTTTTAATAAACATCTCCACGTTTCACCGTAACACGGTCGTGCGACCTACTGTCTCGATCGTTCTAACTCTTAGGAAAATGCAAATTATATTAAACTTCAAAAATCTGTCTACATTTATACGAATTGCGATTATTCTTAATTCGATTGTCGAACGATGCTAATACATGGTCTAATCTGGTCTTCTACTCGAATTTGAACAAGCCTACGCCAAGTCATTCTTATAAAATTACAATTCGTCGATTACAATGCTCTTCTCATATTATCATTACAATATTTTTAATTACTCGCGTCATTATTGCTATCAGCTTAAATTCATTAAAGCACCAAAAAATAAGGTTTATCTTCACGATCACTGAGTTAGTCCGTTATGAGTTTGACGTAATCTTGTTCAATGTCCCTAAACGGGCTCCCCAGAATCGAATACCATTTTTTATTGTACCATGCTCGTAGTTGAATGTTATGGCGGCAATGGCTACGCCGCGCTTCGTAGACAAATCTAGCCGCTTCTTCGTAACGCCAATTTTAAAGCTACGCGGATTTTAGACTGCATTATCGCACTTAGGGACGTCTGTAAGCGTTCTAGAATCTTCTTTTTCGTATATATTTTTCTATTCTTTGTCGGCGTAACTTTAAAATCGGGCAATCACAATTGAGTTGGCGAAAAAGACTTAGTACACGACCACTACTCAAGAAACACCTACTTCGCGTTCTAGATCATATCAATATTTAGCAATAAAAAATATCATGACACGTGACTTTTATTACACTACACTACCTCTCTCACTATAATTTTAAATTCCGCCCTTTTTAACGGGCAGAAGCGTATCACTTACGACGACAAAATGGCGGCCGTCAAATGTGCATCGCTATATTTATATGATCTAGAACTTATTAACATTAAAATTAGCATTAGTCGAAATTATTATGGAAACAAACGTAATCCGACAGTCAATGGATTGACAACTGTCTACAGAGAAGTCTAGACTGAAATAATACGTAAATTAGACGAAGAAGGGTAAAATGTTTTAATACCGAAGTTAGCTTTCGCGTGGGATGTTCTTTCGGTGATACAAGGCACTCGCAACAAGAAAGAGGCTAAGAGAATAAAAAGCTTCAAGGTTTATCCAATTTTTTATTTTTTTTATCTAGTAAACGTACCGATTTGAATCCAAAAATAATCTCGCGATTATCGTTCACACACATAACAACGAAGTTGTGTGAAAAAGGTAATTTACATGATAAATTACCAAAATATTAAATGTCAACATTCTTTGTCTCTTAGTCGCTTCGTTGTTTTAGAGATACTTATGGTATGATTCAATTGCGTGTAAACAAGAATTGGATCTTTCGGGGCTCTATCACTATTGGTTCAAGTACAAAATATTGCGGTTGCACACAAAATAAGTACTAATATCCTGTATTGAGTACACTTCATCATAAGACATTTTAGAATTGTCATAATAATATGCACCTTATAAAACGCCATGTTAAGAAATTATGAAATTCAAAGCCGCTGAAGTTTAGCGATTTGCATTTTTCTATTAAAATGTGCACGTATGCATGAATTAATTCTTTCAAGACTCACGGACGCTTGTTCTAATGAGTTCTGAGTCACGTGTAAGTTTAATTTCGAACGGTTAGTTTCAATATTTAACGATCACGAGTCTCGATTTGTCCATTGCGTCATACAATTATAAATTACCCCGAAAGTAAAATGCTTTAACGAGACCTTACAAGAACCGGCTGTACTCCACGTCTTCCACCAGAACACACCAAAAATGATAAATCGTGAGTACGCACGAAATTAACTACAGAAATGCCTATACTATTTATTCCCAGTTATAGTTACAGCTAAATACATGTCCATACATTGTTAGCAACTTCTTTCATAATATTTGTGCGTTAAACATTTACACTTCATTTATGTACATCAAAACATACGTATATAATCCATAAAACATAATGTACACTATCACCAAACTCGTAACGGAACTTCAAAATACACACATTATCCAAACCTACTAAACGCTAGTCAATTTAATTTGTTCATGAGATGGCGATCTATGTGACTATGTGGTTAACAGTTAACTACTAATTCTTAAGGTGTACCTAAAAAGGGCTTTATCGATGGATACGCGAACGAAATCGATTCGCAATTGAGGTATCGGAGCTTCGAGAACAAATCGGGAACACCAGGCATATCTTCATCAGATCTTTTGGTCTTTATCTCTACACTGATTTTAAAATAGTGGACAAAGTGAAGATTATCAAGAGTGTGTGTAGAATCCAAAAAGAAGGAACACGGCCAATGTGTGAGTAGTAACGAGTGCTCGATATCGATCCAACTAATATTCTAGTAATTCATTGTCTAATTCTAACTTTGATAATATACATAGATACAATATGAAAGATTGAAACTCGCGAGATATATCTGTGGCCTATGCGTTCGATTTTGTTCCATTAGATTTGGTATCCGATATTTACGAAACAAATTATTCAGGAATATAAACGGATGAAATCAAATAACCGAATTGGGTGGAATCGTCACAAATGTTCGTGGTGTGTGTACAAAAGAACGAATCATACCTTAGCTCTAGTAACTGTTTGTGAACTCTAGTTATAAACTATAACTATTTATAATTATTTCTCATATAATTTGCTACGGCTCGACGTATATGAACGTAACGCTCATATGTGAACAGCTTCATAAGTTGAACTCTATTTTACGATAGATGGCAGTTGACTCCATATTAAACTATTCAATATTCATGCAACCGCTTTCACTTCGAATCGAGTGAAGGCACTAGGCATCACGTTTTAATAAACTCTTGAGTAAAAGACGGTAAAACGTATTTTTAACTCATACTTTTAATATAAGATAGTAATAGTATAAATAATTGAGACAGATTTAAGTTATATAAGACATTTGTTAAGTGTCAAAGTGCCTTAACTTCACTTTTCTATTATTTGTGCTTAAAACCCACTGGATGTTAGATTTTAAAACAAGATTATGTTCGTTGTATTGCCATTAAAGTGTAATAGTGACCTTTTAGAAGTGTCGATTTTAAATTTGTATTTTTCGTTAGGATAAGGTGAAATTTATTACAGTACCTACATAGAAATGTGTCCGCCCCATGCCCCACGTGTGGACAATGGGATTTCACATATCCAAACAGAAAGTCACCAAATCAGCACGACTTAATGTTACCTTAGTCGTTGTTTTGATGTACGGTACTAAAAAGAAGGTTTAGTTGGTCTCGGCTTTCCTAATGCCCCGTTCGCATTTAGGTATTTTTATTAAGGTACACATTACTATTAAATCAACATGACAGGTGAAAGAAGTCCTAATAAGCTTTAATAGACAATTAGCACCCTCGGTGGTCTTTGCTCAAGACAGGGAGTGGAAACAACAAACCGTGTACCGGAACCCGGTTTTATTCACGCGCGTTAAAAACGTAAAAAATAACTTACTTAATATTATTATCATTTATCATTTGAATACAACAACTACATCCTCACTCGAGGATATTAACAAATGTCCGTCAGATAAAGTCTTCATAATCATTGATTTTGATCACATAATCTTCAACGATGCAACTATATTAAGAAAACTAACAAACACATTTTACACAGTTACATAGGGGTATTTTTGACGTTCGGGAGTTTTTCGCCTTAAATACTGTCTATAGTTTACACGAGTAGTACACAATTAAATAAAACACTTTAACGGTTTAAAACGCGATATATTCGGGAAACCGGGGGACTCCCCGTGACCACGGCTGCTACAAAGCATCCGAACGGAAGTTAAAAATCATTTTCAAATAAGTTTAACTAATATATCGCGTTTTAAACCGTTAAAGTGTTTTCTTTAAGCTTTTCGTCTTCTTATCGACCGCGAAAGATGTTTAAGGTTCATCTCTTTTAAATTTAGTGCATACCCAAAAACCTCCCGACGAAAAATAACTCCTCCACTTTCAAATGACACTACCATAACGGCGCTCGTCTGTCATATACAAGACATAATATACATGTACATTATATTATATACTATAAAAACAAATATCATATAAAAATCATGTTCAACCATGTGTACATCTTGAATACCTTACATTCATAAGACGGATATATTATTACATATAAGTAATTTATTTTTCTTTACCTCTTACAAAACAACGACTACTTTAATTAACCCTAGACCTTCTCCAATGTTTAATATATATATAGACCAGTGTTAGGCGTTCGTAGACCGGTGGACATAGAAGCAAATTGCTGAACACAAAGTAATAAAATAAAAAATAAAAATTCTAAAGATCTGTTGTCGCAATTTTTTCGTGTCAAATGTGTTCTTTATACAGATAGACAAACACTCGTCCATTTGAAGAAAATATCCCAGACATATTACATCTAATAAAGATGCGCTATCACACCCATACCGAAATCCAAACGAAATTTTACTTTATACAATATAATATACATTTGTAGAGAGTAGTGCATTGAAATTTTACTATTCTTGTCACGACTCCTTATTACTATTGTTGTCTTCTTGTAATTGAATAATCAGATTTGACAAACATACAAACTTAATTAACTCGATGGGAATCGAAGTCAAGATGTTTGTCAACTATTGCTATCTGAACCAAAGCTTTACAGGCGAGCTATTATGAGTTTGAACAAAAGTGAGAAGTCTTTGTTATGATTCCAAATTCAAACACAACTAATAATTTATGACGGTATCGCTAATTTCTCTCTTTACATTACTGTAGTTTAATTTAAGAAATAAGTTTTTATTCAATTTGAACTGTTCATAAAATAAAATAAGTGATTTTAAATATAATTACGTACAGCTTAATCTTGCTTCTACGTCTCAACAGTCTATAGTCATTACAAAAATAATTATCTATAACTCATTCAAATAACACTATTGTCAATATGTTAAAATAACTTTAACAATTCAGTTATTTTATTAGTGCTTTTAACTGTGGTTATATTTTTAAAATAGCTTATTTAACGGTTTTAAAGCCGCACATGTACCAATAATTTGTTTCTATTTTCTACTATCGCAACGAAAGCTTATTATTAATTTCCGACTCCCGGCCTAGTGTTTAAGTAAGAGTGCGACTTCGAACATTGATCTGACTGTGCACCTCGCGCAGATCGGAGCGAACTTAGTCTGACTACGGCACAATGCGTGCTCAAAAGACCACCACACATATGAGGAGTAGAGTCATAAGCTATGTTTACAGTTTCCACTTTATAAATTCTAACATATATAAACGTGAAACTATTAAATCTGTCGTTTCGTTATCATCGTAAAAACAACGTTTAAAATATGCGATCGATACGAAAATAACTCTATCAACGTATTCGTTAAAAAACTCGACTATTTAGAAATAATGGCCGGAGCGACGTCAACGGCGAGAGTTTCATTGTGACATCTTAGCAACGATATAGAACTATTGGTGTTTTTTCGTTTAGTATTGAACAATCGGACACAAACATTAACTTAGAGTCTATAAGAGCCGGGGGGCGCGCGAGGCCGCCGCGGCCGCGAAGGTCGTCGTCGGCTTCGCGGGGCGCCGGCTGTCGACGTCGTCATCGCACGTAATTTATTATCATAAGTACATCACTAATAGAAGTCTCAAACGCGGTTCGGCGGTCGCGGACGCGGTGGTGCGACGCACGAAAACGTAAAACTATAACCTCGATTCACGCACATTCACTAGTGGTAAAAACGATGTCCAGTGAGTCCGTACGGCAGCGGCGAGGGCGATAAGTGCTAAGGCGAGGAGAAGGGGCCGGGGGGCTGCAGTGGCAGCCGCGGCCGGGGCCTGATATGGCACGGAGCAGGTGGCGGTTCGCTCCACAACTGGACTGCAGTGCTCGGCTTCGGGCCGCTGCGGCTCGCTGAGCCGTGACTCGCAGTGATAACAGAGCCGGCTCTCGCAGTGCCAGTAGCAGCAGTCATCAGAGCCGTAGTTTGACTTGTTCGCCTGAGCACCGGTCTCCGGTATCCGGGGATCTGAAACACCGCGGCGTTACAATGTACCCGTGATAGTCCCCTTACCGTCTTCACAGCCTATTATTCTCAGTGAAAAGCCAAGTATTTTACTTGCATTTTTCATAAGCGAAGCTATGACTTCTTAGCACACAAAAGAAGAATAAAAGGTCAATGAGAAGGCGAGAAGCAACAATTGGTCAAGAGAGATACATTTAAAGCGAGTACAGTTTACAGTAAGCACCATTTGTCAGTAGTATTCTCAATTTGAACTGCGGCCAAGCGGCGGTGAGAGCTAATCGAGCCTAAAGCGTCCCTTTTATTTGCCACAACACATGGATTACAAAGAATAACATTTTTCTTTTTCTTGGATTAAAAGTGAACAATAACGCAACTTGGCATTAAAAAAGTGAACTCCAGTTTTCCCCCGTGAACATATTTCTGCGTCCGTTTCACTGATCGGTTCTAATTACAGTTGATCAAATGTCTGTGCCTTGCCCGACCGAAACAATCGATTGTTTCCCCGGGATTCGAACCCCGGACCTCTCGCGCTCAATGCAGTGCTACACAACACGTTTAACCATTTAGCAATAGAAGCAACTTTAGCTAATGTACCTAAAGTTACTACAGACCAATATAATTAATCCAATAAACCTCTTTTAACAGGTTAATTGAACCATATTAGTTAGTTAAGTCATTTTTACGCCTAGACCACGATGTGATTTACCTTCTAAAAAGCTTTCGGTAAAAACTGTTTAATTTTATATACCAATGGCGTAAATTAAAAACAATGCAATTACTTTAAGCGAACCATTTCTTACGTATTAAATATTCATAAAATTCCGTTTCCCTTATGGTGTATGGAGCAGACACATTTTTGTGTTTATCACTGATTGATTTTAATACATAAGTCGCCTATGGTCGGTGCAATAAACATATTAATTTCTCATTTAAGTTTCTCCTTCAATTTCGTCAGGACAACTAAACCAAGAAGACCAATTCTATTTAATAAAGCATATAAAATTTGAAATCGATTATATATTGAAAAAAATTACGACACTGGCTTGAAGGAACGCTGTGGACTTGTGGACGGCGTCCACAGCGTTCCGTGCTATTGCTCAAACCAATTGAGATACCGTGTCCTACACGTCATCGTCGATTTTTTTATAAACGATTATTAATTTATGTATTGCCATCATGTGCATCATTAGAAAAATATTAAAGTTGTCAAAAGCAAATAGAAGATGAATTTACCGAGACATAGGAACGTGGGTTCGCCCGCGTACTGTGTGGGGTAAGCTGGCGCGCGGTCCGCCGGCAGAAAGTATGGGCAGTGTTGCTCGACTAGTTGACAGACTGATAGGCACGGCTTTAGTCTGACGAGGGGTCGGCCAGGCCCGGCAGCGGCGGCGCGGACCCAACGGCCGACAACGCCGCCGCCGCGCCGACGGTCCAAATGACCCACTCGCTCCAAGTGTCGCGCGCGCCATCTTGCCGCGTGCTCAGCGGGGGCTCTTCGAGATCTCCCCCCTTCCTCGTTCTCCTCGGCTCCTTCTTCTACCCACAGTGGAACCATTGTGCTGCAAGCCCACCGTCGATACGTCTCCTGAAATATGGTTTTTAAATTTAAAATAGGAACTGTAATTTACAATGGTATTTGGATGACTTCTTAATGTTTTTAGAGTATTTTTTTCTAACTAGTGAAAAGAACAAAACAAATATAGCCCATTTCAAGCCATAGAGAACTAGTGATGACATTTCATATAGTGTAGCAATGACTAGCCACAGATTAATGGTAAAATATCCATTATATATGGACCAAACGACCTCAATATTTAAAATCACTTTTATGACGATTTTTAAGTAATTATTATTTAACTCGATGTTGGTTTTCACTTCTCGTTGGCTTTGCTTACATCCCATCCTTACTATGTAAATTTTAATTTACGTAACTTAATTTTTAAGATTTCTATTAATTTAGGATGAAATTGTAGTTTTCCTAAGTGAGTTTGAGATAGTTTTAGTAGTTTTATATATACACCAGTGTCTCAAAGTATTTTACTGCAAATAAAAGTAAACCTTGTGAGAAAGTTACGATTTTATTTAAATTGTGTGTTTGTTTACCAAAATTTCCAAGTAAGAAAAAAATCACTAAATCTAAAGAAAGTTAAAAATCGTCTTAGAACCGATCCTGTTCATGAAACGTCGTCGAAAAAGGTATAAGTAACATGAGTAGAGATATTTCCAGGAAGACAGATGTTAAACTAAAGATGTCTTAGGCGACAATTATCTTTATGCCAAATAGCTACGCTAAAGTGAATTTCACGCTAGCCAGTCATCCTCTATCAGAATTAAAACTGAATAATTTGAAATAGTAAAGAATTAATTAGGTTACAAGGCAGTGCGTTCAACCCTTCTCAGTTATATTGATGTTCAGCTCTACAAAAAAGCCAGTCGCTTACTCTGGCAGTGATTAATTAGCCACACCGCCCGCGTAACTTTGTTCTTTTATGATAAAATCGATGGACAACACTTTGTCGTACGTGATCAAACAATGGACGATATAATAATGTGAGATTATCAGCTCAATATTGTTTATCCAATGCTTAAAAAAAATCGCGAGAACTGCTTGCGAGACAATCTTTATGAAATACGGAAATAAAATGTGAATAAGCCTTGATTCGTGCATACATTATGGTAGGATGATAGTAATAGTCGATAACTCTAACATTTTTTCTAATAATAAGCAAATTAATCTAATTGCACCCTAGTGATAATAGGTGCTTCAGAGAGGGTTGTGGATTCGATTCCCAACAAATACAACAGTTTTAAATATTTATTTATATGTTAGACTTAAATCCGTCTTAATCTTGAACCAAAGCCCGCAGTACAAAAGCCGTGATAGTTTATATCCGTTAAAATCTTTAGTTTCCTCGTTGTAAATACATATTTGGACATTTTTACAATAGCATATTTTAACTTTGACATTAGGGGACACCGTCCATCTTAAATCCCCCCGTGAACACGGTTGCTGCCTAGCATCCGAAATGTCGGGCCGTAGGTTATATAAATTTTATAGGTTACGTTACGTTTTGCGTTTTAAACGGTTAAGTGTGTACTCGCGTAAACTACACTATATATTTTTTAAAGAGTTCATGTAACCAAAACAAGCATTGTGAACCGTTTATCGAAATCTTGCATTATCGTATTCGATTATCTGTACAGTATATTATCAATACGCCAGACAGTGTAGGAAAATCACTCATTAATTGGTGCAATCTCCGGGGCCCTTTGTTTCGAGTAATCGTGTTAGTAGGCCATATGTCATGTTGCTGGTATAGACTGTTTAGGATCACTTTGCGATATGATCTCATATCCATTACTTTGCCTTAGTCCTGACGAGAAGAAGAGCAAGTCGTTTGCAAAGACTATTTCCTCATTTTAGGTAATTAATAATTTTTTTTGCTGTGAAACTATTAATTACTTGATTATATAAAGAGATTAAATAAAGAGTACTTAATTACACGGTAACAAGGATTTGTATTTGCGGTTCGATTTAGATTCACGTGTTTCGAAAAATAAATCTCAACATTTCTGAAACATCGGCTTAGTTTTGAAAATTTCGACTTTCGAAATTCAAAATTCCGTCATGATCAAGAACCACTATAAACAAATCAAAAAGCTGTGAAGTCTAAACCAGTCTGTGGATTTACGAATGTCTAAAGCCAAGAATTTGTCAATAGCATATATTGTTTTGATATAATAACCTGCTTGTTTCTTGGCTTTTGTCATTAAAATAATCTGCAATTATACGTAATTTTGCATTATTCTTATAGGTCAAAGCACAACATATGAACTTTTTTAAAAATTTTAATAGAAGCTTTTTTATCCTACATTACAGTCCGCAAAAATAACACATAAGAATCTCATTTACCTAATTTGTAAGTTAACGTAAATTATTTTTTAATTATACATAGTAAAAAGCGTTAAAACTGGATTATGCTTACCGTACTCGTATGTAACTACCCTCCTTAAGTTAAGTTATTAGTAAATTAAAAAACACGAAAGCCCTAGCGCAGCCTAGCTCGTTAATGTTAAACAGAGTGACGTCTCACAATTAAAATCTCAGTCTAACCGTGCAGTTCTTTACTTTTGTCCTATTAAGAACTCTAGAGTCTTGAAAAATTCCACGAAACATTTTTCATTCAAATGCTCGAGCACTGTGTTAGACAGCTTTTATTTACTTAGCCGGTTTACACTATTATTAGTTTTCTTGCGTACTTATTGATTAATTTTTTAACAAACTAAGTACATATTAAAAAGGTCTTTTTTTTAGTAGTTACCCCGTAATATAAGCTTTTCTTAAGTAGCTATAATCATTGGAACTAATTGTAAATAAACGAATCTTTAGTAGTCTTCTTTTAGTAGAATACATAGTGAAATCCAGTTTATATTGTGAGCCCGGTGCAAACATATTTTAGCGTTCGTTTGACTGCTTGGTATTATTATATAAAAGTCAGGTCAGAGTTTTGTGCCCTGCGCGACCGAAACAATTTACTGTTTTTCCCTTTCTCGTTTTGTTTTAATTGTTTAAAATTGTATTTAATAAAACACTTTTAACGGTTTCAAACGCGAAATATTTTTAACCACAGCCTGGCGTAAAAATAAATTAAAATAAGTTAACTAATATATTTCGTGTTTTTAACCGTTGAAAGTGTTTTATTTAAATTTGTTTATATCTTCAAATAATCGCTATCGCTAACTATAAAGATGAAGAGGGGGTTGGCAAAACCAAATTTTGACGCCCAAAAAACTAATCTTAGCGGACGAAGCCGCTGGCACAGCTAGTTACTGTATATACCGGTTTGATTGAATCACTCCATAGATAATAGAGCCGTAACGAGGGCTGTAATAGTGGGCAGTGATGACACATCGCGGGCTGCGGCAGTTGTTCCAATAATGTCATCTTGTACCGTTAATAGCCAATACTAGGTCCTTTACGAGCATACTTTTGTCTTATGGCCCATAGACACGTGCTCGTCAGTAATTATATGTGCAAATAATAGCGGTTTGATGGCGTAATTTGCTTGTACAGAGCCATGTTAGTGAAGTGCAAAAAAAATCCTTTAGGTCTGAGTCTGAAATTTGTGTTTTGGTTTTGGTAAATCGTCATAATTATAAATTTCGTTGTGTATTTGATAGATACAAACATATAATTGAAAACCTCTAGTTTTCATCAAGCATTTACCGCTAAGTTAATAACACTAGATCGAGCTCAGTAAAAATTAGATTAGTAAATAAGAAACCTACTGATTTTAAATTCCAAATTTGAATCTTTATATAAATAAAATACTTTAACGCAGCCATGGTCACGGGGAGATACGGCTACCGCAAAGCATCCGAAATGTCGTAGTTAAAATAATTTTCTAATACGTTTTAAGATTTATTGCGTTTTAAACCGTTAAAGTGTTTTATTTAAATGTGTACTACTCTTGTAAACTACAGAAGTATTTAATCTTTATGTTATTTTAAAAATTACATCAGAAATCTATGTTATATTGAAAATCACACTCGTGGGTCTTGAACAACCACAGCGACCCGTGAAGCTGTTACAGCAATTTTGTTACCAAGTAGTATGTAGTGATAAAAAGAAACTCGTCAAATCGATGGCTGGATTGCGTTGTGGGTTTGTGTTAAGGACATATGAAGGCGAAGTGTGTGTAGTATCATAATTTAATTTCACATGAGAACTAATAGGATGCTACGGTATTTCTATAGAAGAAATAGACATCAATGTATTTAATAGATCAAGAGTGACTTGCGGATTCTTACGTGTAAGGAAAACGCGAGGGATGATGAAAGATGAAGGGGTCGTATCGACCCAGCCTGGATATCCAACAAAGGGACTCTGGATATAATAAGACGCAATAATTTTGCTTTTTTAAGTAGCGTAGCAACGTGAACTTTTATATATGTCTGTACTTTTACAGTGGTAGACAAAACAACATTTACTTAAATTCGACTACTAATAGCAACGTCATCTGTACTGATATAACAAAATTGAATATGTATGTTTGATTTATTGATTAATTATTAGAAAAACACTGAGAATAGGAAAATCGCTGATGTTTTACAAAAGCTGTAGTTCTGCACTCGTATTTTCTTACTTTAAAAAATCACACTCCAAAACAACAGTATTAGCTTAAATTAACACAAGTTGTTTACCAATTAACGTATTTTGTGGGTGAAGGTAGACTTTTCCTTTGACAGTCCAAGGTTCTGTAGTAATGACAACACCGATGTTGAGGTTTCAGAGCTAGGCTACTGTCTTGCGCTCTTATTATACACACAAGTACCATATAGCTAACAAGATAATACTAACAGACTATAAAACGGTCATTTTAGTCTGTGACATAATCTTTCGTACTAAGTAAACGTTGATACGATGTATAGACGCTACAATATTTCATTGTAGCTTTTATTGCTAACTACAAAATGGCGGACGCTTCCCGGATTTATTTTATAGAACAAATTGAAGGAGGTGACTTGCCTTTCTCGCGCGGATAAATCAAATTA